GAAGGAACATACCTCAAAATAATAAGTGCCATCTATGATAAACCCACAGCTAACATATTGTTAAATGAACAGAAACTGGAAACATTTCCCCTGAAAAGTGGAACAAGACGAGGCTGCCCACTTTCACGCCTCTTGTTCAACATTGCATCGGAAGTCCTAGCTCACAATTAGACAAGAGAAGGAGATCAGGGGTATCCAAATAGGAGAAGAGGAAGTCAAGTTATCCCTCTTTGCTGATAAGATCCTATACCTTGAAAATTCAAGAGAATCTGTCAAAAACCTGCTTGTACTGATAAAAGACTTTTGCAAAGTCTCAGGGTACAAAATAAAGTTCTATTCATTGTTTATATGCAAGGATGCATCATTGCTTATTATTATTTTCTTAAGAATTTTTCTTTTTTTTTTTTTAGAAAGAGGATTTATTGAGAACACAGAAAAGCTCCCACAGTGGGAGAGGACCCAAGGGGGATGCCCAAGAATTTTTCTATAATGTGTCATACCAGAACACTGGGGACACAAAGGTGACTCTATAAACTCTGTAGAGCGCCTACTTCATGAAGCTTATAGTAGGCCAGTAGAGACCAACATATAAACTTGTTATAGTATATTGTAATAAATTCTATAATAAATATATTTGCAAGGTCTACTGATGACATAAAAAACAGTTGTCAACTTTACCCTGGTAAAGATTAGTCAAGGGTTAAACATATTATATTGAAAAGTGCCTGTGATTTGGAGCCAGATAAATTTAAATTCAAATCATATTTATGTTGCTACTGATTCTATGATCCTAGATAATTTACAATAATCTTAAGCCTATATATACATTTATTAACCTATCATTCATGAACGTAAACATTTTTCCACAAACTGAAACACATGCTGTAATTATTGTTTACCTTACCATTATCTGTTTACCGAAAAGTGTCATGGAGGTCATTCCAGTTCAGTATATATAAAACTGCCACTGTTTTTTATATGGCCTGGAATATCATAGCACTAACTACAAAATAAGTGTTCAATGAATACCTTACAGAAAATAAATCACTCAACTCAGCTATTTACAAAATTTAAATATTTAAAACATTAAAAAGATATATATCCATCATATGAATATATCATAATTTAGCAATATTTCAATTGTGGCCAAACCCTTGCTATTATAATCTATAATGTAATCAATTATTTTTATATATGTTTATCTATACTATAGTTTTTAAAAGTATAGTATCTGCCGGGCTCGGTGGCTCAGCCTGTAATCCCGCGCCTTTGGGAGGCTGAGGTGAGT